ATGGGACGCCCTGGTCCCAGCGTGTCCCCGACGCTGCATCTGGGGTGACCACACGGGGAACTGGTCCTTGGGGTAAACAAGGATGCACGTGGAGGCGAGTGTGCAGGTGGCAACATGCACAGCCCCTCCTGCTCTCTCCTCCGTCGCCCCCCTCAGTGCCAGCGTGTTCACAGCACAGACTTGGGAAACTACAGGATCTCAAATACCCGGCGCGTGGGAACGAGAGGCCGGGAGCAGGTGTGCGTGTCCTCAGGCCGGACAAGGCACCTGCTCCTGGTGGGTGAGCAGCGTCTGTAGATGCGGCTCCAGGCTGTGTAGACTCTGAATCTCGGCCTCTCCAGGCTGAACAGAGAGCACTCAACAAAGAAGACTCCTGCGGCCTGGAGGGGCGCGGATGCCACCTGCAGCCTGGAGACGGGCTCTGCACCCGCCTGCCGGGCTGGTGGCTGTGGGAGAGAGGAGATTGGGATGTACATCGCGGGTGGAAAAAGGGCAGTCGGCTCTCCGGATGAATTCTTTCCTGATGAATTGTAAACCGTTAAAAACATGTTTAAAATTCATTTTGGCTAAAGAGTTTTTGGAGACTGCAGCAATTAGATGAAGGCCCACATTTCTTAGAAGTTGATTTCTTCTAGAGAGCACCTGATGGGATAGGTCACGTCTTCCCCCGCCCCTCCGCGCCCCTCCGCGCCCCTCCCCGCCCCTCCCCGTCCAAAACGTCCAACCCAACACGACAGGTCAGTGGGTACCTGCTTGTCCAGGTTGTTATATGTTCTTAGAGGAAACCGGGTTACTGTGAAACCATCCGATAGCACACCTCTGAGAAGAAATGAAATGTCTTTTTATTGGCGGAGCCAAGATGAAGAATGTCTTGAGATCTGTTTTACAAATAACCCGGCACATAAATTGTCCATTCCTGCTTCAGGCTCTTTTGTCATGTTTGAGGAGCTGTCAGAGGTCCCTAATAAACATGAACCTTATTTACTTTACTGGATATGTAATTCTTCTTTTCTTTGAAAATAATAATTTTTTTTCAAGCAAGTACAGCAAAAATACAACCAATAAAAATCTAGCTATGGCAGCATAAACCACCTTTATAGCCAGCATATACATAGAGCCCTTCCAATAAAAGCAGCTCCAGGTAAGAAAGGCAACACAGGAAATTGGCTGACTTGTGTCAAGATCAAGTTCCTGGCTCCTAAGGGTTGACAGAGGAGCCCTCACAGCCCTCCCACTTCCCTAACCAGGCTCTTAGGGTGACAGTTGCATCATCCTTGTCGCCAGGCTGGCCCTTGGGCTAAGGAGAAGAGCTGGTCTCGCGGTTGGACCCCTGTCCAGTGTATCTCACCATCCTTTTTTTTTTCAAATCCGTGTTTATTGATTTCAGAGAGGAAGGGCGAGGGAAAGAGAGAAACACCAGTGATGAGAGAGAATCACTGATTGTTTGCCTCCTGCACACCTCCCAATGGGGATTGAGCCCACAACCTGGGCATGTACTCTGACTGGGGATCCAACTGTGACCTCCTGGTTCATAGGTTGGTGCTCAACCACTGAGCCAGGCATGGCCAGGCTCTCTTCATATTTGTGAGCTGCCCCTTGCCTAGGCCCATTCTTGGAGCCACCCAAGCTGATGGACAGTGGAGGGTGCGTGAGGGCAGGACACAGACTGCCTACCTCTTGGTTCCCCCATTCTGCATCCCAGGTAGGTGGTCCCCCAGTGAAGCAGGTGGCAGGGTTAGTGGCAGAGCTGGGTGTGGGGATGGGCTTTGGAGAGCCTAGTCCAGGGATAATGCTCTGGGATTTGGTCAACCTGTTGGCGCTCATGGGGAGGCAACTTTGTTTGGGCCCTTCCCAGCCAGGCACCCAGTGGTGGTCGCTGTGCCCCTGGCCATAACCCTGGGCTCCCAGACACCTTTGTGGACAGACTGAGGGTGGGGTCCCTCCTGGTGTCCCCAGCCGGGGGGTGGGCTCCTCCTGGGGAGCTCTGTTAGTAGGTTCCCAGCAGCCTTGTGGTGCTCATTTGGGCTTTTTATAGTAGCTCTAGAGATGTTATCGCAGCTTGAGAACAGAAATTTAAAATATGTCTTCTTCAGGTGCAAATCTACTGTACTTACAGTTTTACTGTTTCTCTGCAGGGGGGCCCATTCATCTTCTAGTAGTGCAATTCCTAAGGAAATTAAGTCCCTGCAGTTGGGGTTATTTTCAACTGGTCTTCTGGGGCAGAGTAATTGGAATTTAAGAGTCTCTCTTAAAAGAAAGGAAACATTAGCCACTTTACCTGAATAACAACACTTTGCAGTGCCATGCTTTGCCCATTAAAAGTGCTCTCTGTCGGGGCCAGTGTACCTCAGTGGTTGAACCAGGTTGGATTCACCATCAGGTTACTGGCTCAATCCCCAGTAGGGGGCATGCAGGAGGCAGCTGATCCATTATTCTCTCTCATCATTGATGTTTCTCTCTCTCTCTCTCCCTCTCTCTTCCTCTCTGAAATCAATAAAAATACATATATTTTTAAAAGTGTCCTCTGAGTTCTTCCCTCCTGTACCCCCGTGTCTCTCAGCCCCTCTGGGTGGGGTTTACAAAGCTCCCACCGCCTGGGAATTCAATGCCAAGTCCTCATCCCCGCTGACCACTGTTCGCCTCTACTCTGGGTTATATATGCCCACCTAGAACTCAGCACTGTGCCCTGTCAAAGAGTGCACAGTGGCACTTGGTTGGCTACAGGAATGAATGGTTCTTCGTCAGAAGGGCATGGCTACACTTCCTTGCCCACGTGGGAGCAGTATTAGCTGTCATTACCAGGAAGAATAATCAATCACACACACCCCTCTTTCAATGAGGTCAATTCACAGCCCGGGCAGCCCTGTCTGGAGCTTTGCTCTCCCAGCCTAAGACTTCAGCCCCGGGGACCCAGAGCCCCAGCTTCCTGGTCCTGGGCTCCTGGCGCTTGAGTGGCACCCAGCACCCAGAGAACTAACTGTCCGGTCCTCCTCAGGGCTGTGCTGCTGTCTGGGGAAAGCTGTTTCTGACCAAGAGAGCCCTGGGAGCCCAGGGCACTGAAGATGAAGTGTCACTCAGTTCCCTAGCCCCAAAGAGGGAATAGGAAGTGGCCCAGTGATGCCGACATGGAGTCAGCAGAATGCCAGTGATGAACCCACATTGGAGACAAGGCCAAAATCAGGCCCAGGATCTTGCTTTGCTGTGTTTGTGAACTTCTGAGCAGTAACAGGGGCATGAAGGTAAGCCAAATCCAGAGCATTCTCTAACAGGCCGAACCAGTTTGGTATAATGAGGAGTTTTTCCTTCTGGGCCCAGATGAGCTCAGAGAGAGCGTTGGGCAGTGTATCAACAGCAGCAAACGGCACTAAGATGTATATAATATAAAAATGGGGGTTTCCCCCTCTCAATCCCCTATTTTCACACTCTCCTAACATTGGGGCACATCGTTCTGAAGACCTTTTTATTTTGTTTTTTATGTTAATCCTCACTCAAAGATATTTCTTCCATTGCTTTTCAGAGAGAGTGGAAAGGAGGACGGGGGAGAAAGAGAAACATCAATGTGAGAGACACATCAACTGATTGCCTCCCCCACGCACCCCCACCGGGGCAGGGAGTGAATCCACATCTCAGGTATGTGCTCTTGACCAGGAATCGAACCCAAGACCCTTTCGGTGTGCAGACAGATGCTCTAATCATTGAACCAGGCTGAAGACCTTTTTAAATGCTATATTCAGTTATATATACTTATGCATTTTATTTACATGTAGTTCTGCTGCAAAATGGTTATTGGCATATAACCCTGTTTTGCAACATGCTGTTTTCCCCTTTCTGATTGCATTTTTCCCATGGTTATCTCTAGGCTTTATTTACCTTTTTTTTTTTTTAACTAACCTTTTGGCCCTGGCTGGGTAGCTCAGTTGGCTAGAGTGTTGTCCTGATAAACCAAGGTTGGGGGGTTGATATCTGGTCAGGGCACATACAAGAATCAACCAATGAGCCCTAACCGGTTTGGCTCAGTGGATAGAGCGTAGTCAGACTGAAGGGTCCCAGGTTCGGATTCCGGTCAAGGGCATCTCCAGTGGGGGGTGTGCAGGAGGCAGCTGATTAATGTTTCTAACTCTCTATCCCTCTCCCTTCCTCTCTGTAAAAAATCAATTAAAAAAAATATATATTCCACCAATGAATGCATAAGTGGAACAACAAATCGATGTTTCTCTCTCAAATCAATTTAAAAAAATTAAACTTTTTTATTTTAAAATAATTGTAGTCATATGCAGGTGTAAGAAGTGACACAGAGAAATCCTGGGTACACCTTCTCCAAAGGCATCTTGCAAACTGTGGTGCAGTTTCACAAACAGGATGCTGACACTCCTACTGTCCGCCCATCTTGTCCAGACCTCCCCTGCTTTCCCCGTACATGTGTGCACTTGGTTCCATGTTTAAACATCTTATCACGTGTTTAGGTTTGTGTATCGACCAGCAGTCAGAATACCAAACATCGCTCTCCTGTTGCATTATAAATACTGTCATTTACCGTTTTCAGTAACATCTGTTTCTCAGTGAGGCACACCTAGTTCAGCTCCCAAAGGCCACTTTGGGTCACTGCACCCTTGGGCGCAGGGGGCCGGACACCCGGTGGCGCGGGTTGGGGTCCCCCAGGCCCTAGTTCGCAGTCCACGGTCAGTGCTGAGGTTCCGAGACGAGCACCCTCCCTTTTCCTGACCTTTCACGCCAATCCTTTTCGGTGTAGTTTTAGGTTAAGATTTAGATGGAGATTTCGGCGTATCACGTGCAATTAGTACAAGCGACTGCGCTCACACTCACATCACGCGCACACCCTTTCCCCGCCCAGAGCGCCCCCCGCAGCTGCCCTCGGCTCCGGAGCGGGGGCGGCCGTAAGCCCCGCCCCGGCGGCCCGTCCGGGATGGCGCCTGCGCAGGCCTGGGGCAGGGCGGGGCCTGGGCGGAGCCTCTGCGCGAGCCGCCGTAGGCCACGCCCCCTCCCGCGCTCGATTGCTCCTGTCTGGCGGCGGCAGCATGGCGGCGGGGGCGGTTGGGGCGGCGGCGGCGGCGGCGGCGGCGGCGGTAGTGGAGGTCGGCTCACCCCAGCAGTTTGAGGAGCTGCTGCACCTCAAAGCCAAGTGAGCGGGGCGACGGGCGGCCGGGGTGAGGGTCGCGGCCGCGGCGGGCGGAACGGCTCGGCCCGGCCTGGGCGGAGTGGCGGGCGCGGGCCCCGGGCCATGGCTCCCGCCGCCGGCGGAGGAGCGGGGCCCGACCCCAGATCCCGGGCCAGACCCCGGCCCGCCGGGCGCTCGCAGGCCCGGGTCCCCTCCTGCCCGCCCGGCCCCAGCCCCCGGACGCGGCGACGCGGTGACCGAGCCGGGAGCGGGAGGGGCGCGGAGACCCCTCTGCGGCGGCGCCGCCCGCGGTGAGGGAAGGCCCGCCGGGGTCCGGGCTGCGGGGGCGCCTGCCGCCCGGGGGAAGGACACTCCCAGGGCGGCCCCGAGGCCGCGTTGGGGACATAGGGACCCGGCCTGTCCGAGTGCCCCCGGGCAGGGCTTGCGGGTGCGCTCGCGGGCCCCGCGGCGATACTGCCCGGTCTGGAAGGGTGGCGGGGTCCTCCGTCCCCGGCCTGGGAGGTTCCGGGCGGGGAGACGGTGGGTGGCCGGGGAGCGAGCTTCAGCGTCGGTGGCCGGCGAATCCCGGGCACGTTTCAGACCCGGCCTCAGTTTCCCCACCGCGAGCCGGGTTGGGCCAGGGCCCCGCTCGGGGCCGGGGGATGAGCGGAGGTGGCACACGCGCTACCCAGCACGCGGGAGCGCTCGGCGCCGGCCCTTCTTGCTGCGGTGCCGGCGGGCAGCTCACAGGCTGGACAGGCTATGGACTTGGCCCGTGTGGCTCAGTAGGGCAGCGTCCGGTGCACCAAAAGGGCACATGCCGGGCCAGGCTTGACCCCCTGGCTAGGGTTGTGGGGGAGGCAGCCCCTGTATCCATCCGTGTTCTGCTCTTACATGGCTGTTTCTCTTACTCCCTCTCCCTTCCTCCCTCTCTCTCTCTCTCTCTCTCTCTCTCTAAAAATCAGTGAAAATATTTTTTTAAAAAAGGTTGGTAGCCTATTTTAATTTTGAAAAAGTAGAATCATATCCCATGTGATTAAAAATTCTTTGGTAAAGTTAACATATCTTAATGGCTTTATTTTGCTATATGACTATTCAAACCTATATTGTTGGACCATATATATGCATATATATGTATATATACATATATTTGTTTGTTAATCCTTATCTGAGGATACTTTTTCCATTGCTTTTCAGAGAGAGAGAGAGAGAGAGAAAGGAAGGAAGGGAGGGAAGGAGGGAGGGAGGGAGAGGAGCATTGATGTGAGAGAGACACATTGACTGGCTGTCACCTGAACCCTCCTCGATCATGGGACCATGGGCTGAGAGTGAACCGGCAACCCAGGTACATGCCCTTGACCAGGAATTGAACCTGAGAGCAAGGGCTGATGCTCTACCTAGTACAGCCGTGGGCAAACTAGGCCCGCGGGCCGGATCCGGCCCGTTTGAAATGAATAAAACTAAAAAAAAGAAGACCGTACCCTTTTATGTAATGATGTTTACTCTGAATTTATATTAGTTCACACAAACACTCCATCCATGCTTTTGTTCCGGCCCTCCGGTCCAGTTTAAGAACCCATTGTGGTCCACGAGTCAAAAAGTTTGCCCACCCCTGACTTAGTACGCCAGCCAGGGCTGGGCAGTATGTTTTTACAGTTACTTGCTATGTGAAATAATAGGGAAGTATTTGTATACATATACCTTTGTCTCTTGAATTGTGTTCTTAGGATAGAGACTTGAAAGTGTAAGAAATTTCTGAAAGGTTCCAGTTTAATTTTACCCAGCAGGATATTTCACTTTATCCTTTTTATCATTGAACTAGAGGTCCGATGCATGAAAATCGTGCAAGAGTAGGCTTTTCTCCCCCGCCCCCCACTGCCAGCACGGGCTTCCCTCTGATCGCCCGCAGGCACCCGGGACCCAGGCTTCCCTCTCAGCCCTGGCTTTGTCAGAAGGCCCTCCGGTCTAATTAGCATATTATTCTTTTATTATTATAGATACTATGATCTTAAAATCTTTTTTCAACTTAGTTAGAAGTTGAGATATTAACTTACTATAATGAAATGCCCAGATCTTGTTAGGTGCGATGAATTTGGCAGTTGGGTGGGTACACACAAGTAACCATTTAAAACAAGGACAGAGCCCCGGAAAGTGGACTCTGCTGTGAATGGAGTCACACACCTCCCTGGCCTGTGTCTTGTTCTGCTCAGTATGTTTCTGAGGTTCATCCTTGTTGAATGTCTCCATAGCTGGTTCTTTTTTATTGCTGAGTAGTAGTCCATTGGATGAATTTTACAGGTTCTCCAATTTGTGCACTTTGAGTTCTTTCCAGGATTTGGCCTTTATGTCCAAGGCCACTGTGAACATTCTTGCATGGGTTTTTGTGGGGGTTCGCTTCTCATCTCCCTACGCCTTAGGTCTTGGGGCTCAGGCCCCCTTATCCTCTGCAGAGGCTCATATGGGAGGGTTCTGAGGGGCCAGATAGATCACTTCTGGCCTGCATGCCAGCAGCCAGAACTCAGACCCAAGCAGCTGCAAGGAAGACGGAACCGCAGCCTAGCTGCTGTCCCAGAGGCGGAGGAGGCAGTGCTGGAGGACACAGCGTCTCTGGCCCAAACCCTGAGGCCTCTACTTGCACCTGCCGCTTCCCCCTCTGCTGATACAATGGTAACGCACTGGTTGGGCCCTCACTTAGTGTGTCCTTCCCACCTTGGGTGGGTCTTCCTGGAGAGCCTCCTGCTCTCCTTACTGTAGCTCTCCCCTCAGCGTCCGTCCTCTCTCTGCCCCCTGCCCGCCGGTTTCCTTGGTGTCAGCAATGACCTTGCTTCTTACCTGGGATAACGGGACTTGCAGAGCATCTCCCGAGCTCTCCTTCTACTGTCCCTCCCTCAGCACTTACACATTTGTTTGTGGCTTCACCCATTCTCCATGCCTCTGCTTCTGGCCCAGGGGAGACAGTCCCTCCTCTCAAGGTGGATTCCTCTAGATCTCGCTCCCCTGCCGCCTCTGCGGCCTCGCACACTCAACCCCGTGGTCTTCTTCAGCTTCTCCCTGTGTCCACTCACAAAATAAACCGTCCAGGCTTTCTTGTATTAATAAAACCCATTCCTGCCTGGCCGGTGTGGCTCAGTGGTTGAGCGTCAACCTATGAACCAGGAGGTCACGGTTTGATTCTCGGTCAGGGCACAGGTCTGGGTTGTGGGCTCGGTCCCCAGTGTGGGACGTGCAGGAGACAGCCAATAGGTCAGCCGTGGGCAAACTACGGCCCGCGGGCCCGATCCGGCCCGTTTGAAATGAATAAAACTAAAAAAAAAAAAAAGACCGTACCCTTTTATGTAATGGTGTTTACTTTGAATTTATATTAGTTCACACAAACACTCCATCCATGCTTTTGTTCCGGCCCTCCGGTCCAGTTTAAGAACCCATTGTGGCCCTCGAGTCAAAAAGTTTGCCCACCCCTGCAATAGGTGATTCTCTCTCATCATTGATGTTTCTCTCTCCCTCTCCCTTCCTCACTGAAATCAGTAAAAATATATTTAAGAAACAGCCCATTCCTTCACCCTGTCTTTGCCTCCGCCTCATTCTTTGTTTACAGCCAGATCTCATAAGAGCGGAGTTCTAGCAGTCTGCCTTTCCTCCTCCTCAGTCCCCACGACGCTGCCGTGGGACCGGCCCTGCTGCCACTGGAATCCCTCCCCATTGCTGGCTGTCCTTCCTGCTGAGTTGATGGCTGTCACCTCTTCCTTCTTGGCTCTGGGTGGCCCTCTAACCGTCCGGTACCTTGGCCACTACCTGGGCGCCGTCTCCGCCCCCTGCCCTGCAGCTTAGCGTGGAGGAGCCGGAGCCTCTGGCCTGGCCTCTGTCCCTCTGCGTGGCTGCGCACGGGGCCAGCACTGACTGTTTCTTCCCGGGTCTGCAGGTCAAGTGCAGACTTCTTTCCTGGGCGCCAGACCATCACATCACAAACAGCATTAGGCTCCCTTTCCTCTCAGGTTGGCAGCTTCTGTCCCAGGATCTGCACTCGGCCAGACACTCGAGTCAGCTCCAGGCTGTGCCTCCACTGTCACCAACTCCTGCCCCTCCCGCCTCTGGCACCCCAGTGCCTCCCTCTGCTTCCGTTCTCCCGACACTGGGTGGCGGGCTCCTTCTCACCCAATTCACTTTAAATAATTCACTGTATTATTTTCCTTGCCCACAGGTTCCTCTCCATGTAACATTTAAAACTTGTTTTCTTCCTGAATTTTCAGATCTTTTTTGTTTGTTTGTTTCTTCGTGGGTTTTTTTTTGTTGGGGGATTATATTTGAGCTTAGAATTCTATAAAACTGTAGGGTTTTTCAGTTGGCTATGAAGATAGACTTAAAGATATCTTTGGCAAGATAATTTTATATGGGAGTAGTTGATAGATACATACAGAGATTCCTAAGAATTTCATCAACAGTTTATTAATCTATTCTGTTTTCATACTATCACTTTTTAGACAATCTTTGTAGTATAATATAAAAAGTATGTCTTTGTAAAAAGCAGTTCAATTTTTTCCATGTTTGCTGCTTGCGTGCTTTCATTTTCAGTATTTTATTCCTGTTTCTATGGTTACATTATGCCCCTTCATCATAGTTCTGTGTTTGGAAAGGTAAAGACTCTCATTAACAGTAATCCTGCTTCTGCAGCCGTTTTTTACGAACATGGTGCGTCAGCTACAGAAGTCTGGTCTGCACCTGCCCTAAGGGCCAGAACGTGTAGGTGACTTCCATCCTCTTGGTTAAGGTGGAGGAATATTCAGAACCACTTCGTGGGAGCTAAGTATTGACTAAGAAAAATCATTAACTTGAAAATTCACCTGGAAGATTCCCAAGACCTTGCAAGTCCTTCTATCTTAGTCTGTTTAATACAATGAAATTCTAACAGAACAAAAAGACTCAGGCCATCCTCGTAACTGGGGAAGACCTGAATCTATATCAGTATCTGCTTATTTCTAAAGATACCGTCTCCTTAAAACGGCATTTCACTTACTTACAGATCCCTCGTTGTGGTCCATTTTTGGGCGCCATGGGCTCCGCAGTGTGCGCAGATGAACGACGTGATGGCAGAGCTGGCCAAAGAGCACCCCCAGGTTTCGTTTGTGAAGGTATTTCGTGCTCCGCGTCCTGTCTTTTAGGAGTTTATATGAACTAATGTGAAAGGAATTCCACATGCTTATAATTGAGGTTGGAATCTGTTATTTTTGTAGTAAACTATTCTTAAAAATCTTAAAATAGTTTTGCATCTCTCTAGTATCAGGCGTGTAAAACTCACCACACTTTGCCTACATGTGTGTGGGGGCGGACAGGACCAATACCGAGCAGGATGGGCCACGGGGAGATGCCTGTGAGCAAAAGCAGACTAGATCATTCACTGTGGATCATTGTGATTTTAATAAAGGGAAAGTATTAGCAGACACATTTCATGGAACAGGTAGGTGTGGTGTGGAAAGTGATTGAAGAAAGGGCATCCCAGGTGCTGGGAACCTGGGGGTTGAAAGAGTCGCTCTCTGGGATTGGCAGACCTGCAGGAGACACCGAAGGTTTTTCTGACTTCTCAGGAAGCAGAGGACAAAGGAAGCCGGTCTCTTTCTTGCTTTCTGTGTTTGTACTGAGTTTTACATGCTGTATCTTTGCAGTATCTCTTGGATGGGTAAGTAGTAGGAAAGTGATAATTGTGGCTCACTTGGTTTAGCACACATAATATCATTCAGGACTTAGTACTGGTTTAGACAAAAGGCTAGCATATGAGTTGAGAGTCTTAGAAATGAATTATTGGGAAGGAAGGCACACCCTATATTCAGAAGCCTGGATCTTTAGGATTTAAAACAAACTAAGAAACCAAAGCCTTATTTCTTAAAACCAGAATTTATTAGTTCATAAGACATGTTGACAAGTATACCTGTACATAGAGTTAAAAATGACATCAGCTGGGTTTGTATGCCAGTGGATATATAAATTGAAAACAGAATTCGGACAGGCTAATTCATTTGTACAGCAGGTGTATAATTTATCAGAGTTTCTCTATAGATACGTGTGCTCTGAATAGGTGTTGCAGTTAGGTGGCTCAAAAATCAAAACTGAAAAGCTGTGTTGAGCAGGCTCATCACACGCCTTCCCATCGGTCCTGTTGTCCCCCCATAAGTAACTGCTTGCATTAATTTTGTATGAATCCTTCTTTATGCAGATAGAGCAAGCGTGAATATAATGGCTAGCTTTTTAAAATTTAAGCACTTATTTAAAATTCCAATGAAATGTGTAATGTAACCTTAGGATGTCACCCTAAAATGTCCAATATAAATAATGGAAGGGAACATTAAAACTGCATGTTTGGTCAGTGATAAAAGATAAGGATTACAAGTGAAATGAATGATTAAACATTTCAATCATAAGATTAATCAAGGTGATGGTAATTGTTGTAAGCCTGCTTTTATATGTATAATGTTACTGGTGTAGGTAGCACATTGTTCCTGGCTGCCATCGGAATGATTTATTTAAAGTGACGATACAGTTACTTCTCACATTGGTACCAGACTTGGCAGTGAGTCTTTAAGTTGTTCAAGTGCTTGAGTGTCTCAGCAAGCCAAGGTCGGGAAGCCCTTATCTGCCGGAGGTACCTGAGCCGGCTGCGTCTGCCGTTCCCAGGCGGTGACAGTGTGGACGGTCGCTCCCTCTCCAGCACGGGTTTTCTTTCACGGACATCAGGGAGGGCGGAGGCAGTTTGCATGGAGCTTGTGAGGTGGATTGCTTAAAAGGCTGCAGTGGCTGAACCCTAGTGAGCAGATGAGAAAGGAGATTGGCGAGCTCTATGGGCATTTCCTAGTAAGAGAGGCATGTGGCTCCTTCTGAAACAGCTGGCTTGTGGAGAGCTTTTTGAAACTTCCGGGCTATGGAAACTGATGTTCTGTTACCTCTGTGTCTTTTCATTTGATTTCTTAGTCTTTTTTAATGACTGCAGTAGTTTGGCATTTTTGACATGTGAAATACGGAGATTAGTCCATTCTGTGACTTAGATTTACAGAATCATTATGTAGGTTCTCTTAAACTTGATATTTTTAGTAGTTCGACGTAAAATTTTGTGACCACCAATAATTTCTTATTTTATAGATAATGGTAAAATATACCTGAGAAAAGTTAGCATGCTTTTTTGGTCCATGTTTTGCTCACTGGAATAGGTGGCTGAAAGGCAAGGCTTTCCCATTATGGAGGCCTCGTTTCCTGGACTGCTGTGTGGTGATGATGCAGGGCACGCAGGTCCTCCTGGCTCCATGTTTATGTCCATGGTGGTCCACTCGCCTGGATCGGCCACCAGGTTTGGTCAGATCCTGAGGTTCTCAGGATCTGACCTACAAGGGCTTTGAGGTGATGCATGAGTTATTTCTATTGCTAAGCCTCATAGAAATCTATTTTTATTCAGAATAAAATTAAAACGTTCATTAAAATGTCAAATGCCTTTGCTTTTCAAATTATGTAAAGTTGGTTTGCTAGCACTAACAAAAATGGGAATACATATTTATCATTTAATCAATTGTTGGGTAGATAAAATCTTTGAAGATGAAGTGCCTGGTAGAGAAGATGGGAAGAAGAATTATACAAAGTTTTTTAGGTGATGAACAAATTGGGTTCCCCTAGTCATATTCAAAGTCCAAATCAAATCCATGTTTTTTATAGGCATGGCAATTTTTGATATTTTATATATTTTATTTTAAAAAATAAAAATGGTCTATATTTAAGGTGTCTAACATAACGATTTATACAAACCATTTTATATGAAGTCGTTCCCATGGACCCCTGTGGCCTTTTTTGGGGGGAGGACCTCTGAACTTAGTCTGTGCCGTTGGTTGGACTATTAGTCAGGGAACATTTTTAACTCCTGTTTTGATTGGTTTCTGAACGAGATGATGGGTGCCTGAGGTGGGAGCCTGTACCCTGCCATTTCTTAATTGCTTTCCTTTGTGCAGGTGGCTCCCACCTCCCATGCCAGCCTCCCTCTCCGCCCCCCCAAGTTTAGTACATACACTGATGGCTGCTGGGCTGTGGTTACTATGCAGTGCACTTGGGTACAAAAATTCTCCAAGTCAGACTCATCAGCCACCTGGTTGGTGAGATTTCCTACTGTTGCATTTCATTTAGCATTAATCTTGTTTGTATAGTAGCTGCTGTACTTGCATTTATGTTCATTGTAACTTCATGATGTAAAACCAAGGGTACAGAAGGAGTTAATATACAGACATTTTATTTTCTGATTTAAAAAAATAGGAAAATTTATAGTTTGATTTATTCTTAAATGTGCAACCATCTTAAAGATACAGCTCACGTTGTTTAATTTTGGAAGCTCTTAACAGTCAGTATAGATCATCTCTGGAGCCTGCACTGTTTAATTCTCTATGTCTGTGCAGTTGGTGTAAGCAGATAACACAGGGCAGTCTCCAGGTCACCAAGTGGCTGTGCAGCTAGGTACCAACTGAATTCCTGCTTTTCTGTCGGAGGATATTCACCAGTTTACTTGGCATCTTATCATAGTAGAATTTATTTTTTAGGAACTCTAAAAATGCTCCTCAGATAATTCTAGTAGAATTGTTAAATCTTAAGAATATCCTAGTTGTTATCTATGTTGTTGTGGTAATAAAAGAAACCCAATGAATATAGTTTATTAGCTGTTACTGCACTCACTAAGTTTGGCAAAAATCTTTAAAAAGGCATCAAAAATGTTAATTTAAATATCTATTTTGAAATTTATATCTGACTGTCTGACAAAGAATTTGATTTTGAAAAGTTCCCTGTACTGTCAACATGCCATGAGTAGAAAGAAACCTCTGTTTGAGGTTTAACAAAATGTCCCTGAGTGTAGGTTTAAACGTTCCCTCCTCAACCTTGCAGCCTCATTGCCACCAGTGGCATTTTTATATCCTTTCTGAGCTCAGCTGCTTATTAACTGTGTGTCTTTGGACAAGTTACCCTGTACCCAGCCTCCTGTAAAGTTGAGATGCCATGCTGCATACCTGTCCAGGTTGTAAGTAGACTGGGCACGCTTATGTAGAGGGCTGTCATGACTTGTGACACAGGGTAGGTCTTCCATGAAAGATATCTATTATCCATCAAGGATATCTTTGGTTTCTTCTGAATGTAGATCATTATTAAATATTTATATATTTAGTTTCCATTTTCATTATTGTAACTCATGTTTTACATTCAACCAAAATATTTCCAAAGAATTTTAGTGCTGCAAAGGTTTTTGAACTTCAGCTGCCCTTGCCGCCTGGAGAGTGGCTGTCCTTCACTGGGACTCCTGGCCCATGCTCAGCAGGATTTGCCTGTCGCCATTGCCTTTGTCTTTGTAGGATTGGTCTCTGGGGCTCCTAGTGGAGAGGCACACGTAGTGATCTGGCTTCAGCAGGATGTTAGAGGCTTATTTGCTTCCCAGAAGAGTGGTCAGTAGGGACCCTACTGGGACCCACGACTGTGAGAAGAGACCACTTTTAAAAGCATCCAAGACTCTGGTTTTATGCATGTTCTGGGTTAAGACCACATTATCTTGTTTCTACTTAGTGTAGCTCTTTTATGGATTTTACTTTTCTGTTAGAATCCAGTCGTACCACAGATGGGGATCTGGTGAGCCTAGCTCAGTGATGGCGAACCTTTTGAGCTCGGCGTGTCAGCATTTTGAAAAACCCTAACTTAACTCTGGTGCCGTGTCACATATAGAAATTGTTTGATATTTGCAACCATAGTAAAACAAAGACATTTTTGATATTTATTTTATATATTTAAATGCCATTTAACAAAGAAAAATCAACCAAAAAAATGAGTTCGCGTGTCAGAGGTGACACCATGTCATAGGTTCACCATCACTGTGTCATCGCGTGTCATAGGTTCACCATCACTGGCCTAGCTCAATGCCCAGTGCCCAGTGTGTGGTGGGCACGCCACAGATCTCAGTCGAAAGACAAAAGATAATGAACTGCCTTTGTGGTCACCTTGTGTGCTCCTCTCTGGTCTGACTGCGGAATTGTGGGAAAAGCAGCACAGATGTGTCCACAACTTTAGAGTCTGTCCTAGAGTTGCCTCCCATTGCTTAGTCTTCTCTTTGTTCTTTTTTCGCTGTTATTGGACAGCTGATGTTGATTTAAAGTGTATATAGTTTTTCTCATAAACACATTTAAAAATGAAAATAATTAAAAATATTGTTTCAAAAGGGTGTTCTAGAGAAAAAACAGAATTAAGGTAGTAAAAGAGCACCCAAGAGCATATGAGGTGGGAGAATCAAACCAAAGATAAATGGTTGTGCCTCCTCCATGTCAAGGTTCATTTGCGTAGATATGCTGGATTGGTTAAAGCTCCAGCTAAAAATAGTGTTTCAAGCCCAGTGGAAATCTTTCACTCTCGGAAAAATGCAGTAGTTATATTTTAAAAACTTTTAACAATGTAATTTATCAATAAATTTTATTTCCTACAGGTATAATGTAAATACAGGTTTTTATTGGTTTTAAAAAGTTTATATTGCATTGACAGTCCTATGAGGGAAAGATGCAATATATCTCAGTTTTTCTCAAAGTGCACTGTTTTTTAAAGTCTTACATAATAGCTTATAGTAATTGTGTTTAATTATTGGGAGATTGTGTGACTTAATGTGTTTCAGATTCGTGCGTCAGCTATCACACGGTGTCTTGTTGAGGGGAACTATGACACAGCGTGCACATCTCATTTCACAGGCACTCAGATGGGCGCAGATACCCGAAGCCAGGAAGCTGCAAGGTATCTGCTTCGTGCCCAGCAGCCTTGCAGGAGTTAAAAGTAAAATTTATCAGACATCAATAGTTTATTGAAGAAATACTCCTTTTTGCTTCATAATTTGCAGAAGGCTGCAACTGTCAGTCATGATGTACTGCCTCTTGAAATTAGTCAATAGAGCAAACAGCAAGAATTGCTGTGGGCAGAAAATAAGCACTGTAATCATGACATAACTGGGGTCAGTGATTTATGGATTTCAATATAGTAGTAGCTGCATATGATTGAAAATTTACTAGGTCACTAGTGCACCAAAAATTTTATTCACAGCCTCCAGGCATCTTTTGAAATGTGCAACAAAATAAAAACCTCTGAACCTGTTTTGACACCGCAGACTCAGTGGATGACATGCCAGCCCAGTGAGTCTCATTTAAATGTAAATGTGTCATAAACTTTTGTACTACACTCTTTAAAAAACGTCAACTACTAGAAGGAATAATGCATGTGAAACTGATTTACATATTGAAGTTGTCAAAAAGAACCCTTTTATAATCAAGCTTAAATTCTCTTATTTTAAAGTTGGAAGCCGAAGCTGTTCCTGAAGTATCTGAAAAATATGAAATTAGTTCTGTTCCCACGTTTCTGTTTTTCAAGGTAAGGATAAAGCTGACACAAGAGGGGCTCCTCTGCCCTGGGCCGGGGGGTTTCTGTTTTGGTTTCTTTACCCTCTCCCCTGACCCCTGAACATTCCCATTGGGTTGTTCCTGGCTTTGTCCCTTCTCGTAGTCTCAGTGTTGCTTGTCCTGGGGGTCCTGGAAAAGTGACATGGCTTGGAGGTCCAGCAACCAGAACTGGAGCTTCTTGAGAGCAATTCAGATACACGCTGTAGGCCCACTGTTTTTGGCGCTGGGCCAGAAGTTGGTTGCTAGGGCGGTGTGGACGGAATGAAACCGCGGGCTGGCCCTGGTTTGATGAATGTTTCCTTTATGAAGCCATGCAGATCTGTCCTTAGGATCCCCTGGGTGTTACCTCAGTCCCAGATGCCTCCTTTATACTTAAAGTAAAGGACGCATCCCAGCCAGAGTGGGGAAATCTTTCTGTTTTAGGTGAGACTGGTCTGGCTTGAGTTTGAGATGTGGTGATGTTTACAGCCAGCCCAGTGAGTCTCATGAAAATGTAAATGTGTCAGAAATTTTTGTACCGCAGTCTTGAAAAACATCAACTACTTGAAGGGATTTGACATTTGAAAATTTACAGATGCTTTCCTAGTATGTTCCCAAAAAGGGAAGAAAGAAAAAAAAGAACAATTAGTTGTTTCTAAAATTGAGATGCATTGCAGGCAATTGGTAGTCAGATTTCTAAAAAGTTTTCCAGTAATAGTGTTGACCCCTTTAAAAATTGGCTAGAACTATGGATTCATAATTGTTATAATTTTGGAGCCTAAAATATAGAGGTGACGGAGGAATGCCTCACATACTAAATGAGTTTTTTAACTTTAGAATTCTCAGAAAATTGACCAATTAGATGGTGCACATGCCCCAGAGTTGACCAAAAAAGTTCAGCGACATGCATCTGTGGGCTCCTTCCCACCCAGTGGTAGTGAGCACCCCAAAGAAGACCTCAACCTTCGCCTGAAGAAATTAATTCATGCTGCCCCCTGCATGCTGTTTATGAAAGGGACTCCGCAGGAGCCGCGCTGTGGTAAGACGCTGCTGTTCAGATCCTGTAACAAAGGGGCCTTCACCAGGATGGGTCAGCGAGGTGCCCACGCTATTTTCAAGCTGTGCCATCCTCCTGTGCTTGGGTTCACATACCTCCAGAAAGTCAGGAAGGTTCCAGTTCCCAGTGGGGTTAGGTAATTACTTGGGTCATATGAATTAGTTTGCATTAGAGACTCAGGATATTGGAACCAGAAGGCATCTTAGAAGTCATCTAATTCGGGATTGTTGTTGCTTGCGTAAGTACCCAAAGGTGTGAGGGCAGCGTGCCCAGGGCCTGTCTCCTGGTTGTGGAGCTGGGATCAGCTTCCGACTGCACATTGCCGGTCCCCTGAATGGCTTCCTGCCTGTTCCGTTACCTTTGCTGTTAACAGCCGCCCTCTCCGCCCTGGCACCCCCTTTGCCCACCTCCTCCAGATGTAGCCGTTCACAGCTCACTGAGCTCTGCCAGCGCCCCCATGTGTGCCCTGCCGCTGCTGCCCGCCTTGCCTCCCGCACCTAGTGACTGTATTACCCACTGCTGCCCGCCTTGCCTCCCGCACCTAGTGACTGTATTACCCGCTGCTGCCCGCCTTGTCTCCCGCACCTAGTGACTGTGTTACCCACTGCTGTCACTTCTGATTTTTAGCTTCTGCTAATTTAAAGATTTCTAATTCTGTGTCTTACAGCCACTCTTATTTTCTGAACCTCATAGCTGCTTGTGATTCTGTCCTTAAGTAAGTTTTACAGTTATTTGACGCCTCTGGTATGGGGCTTCTGTTGTTTTCTTTGTACTGTGCCTCACAGAGCAGTGATGCTGCATAATTGAGCATTTAATGCCTTTTGATGCTCTGCTGAGAATCCGAGTATTGGTTTCAACTGCATAGGAGGGACTTCGTTAGGTGGGTGCTGTTGGTAGGATTACTGGCTGTCTAAAGTGACCATGAAAATAGCCAAGCTTCCAAATAAATTCAATTGTAAATTCTTCCCTATGTGGTTAGCAAATTACATATTAAATTATGAAAACGTCTAGTTGAAAAATAAGGTTTCATGATGAATTCTATCCTAAAAAGATACAAGAAAATCATTTCTTTATCTCTCGGTTCTACTTGAACAATTCCCTTGCCAACATCCACATATCAGGTGGCCTGCTGCGTATGTACTGAAGCCAACGTGTTCTGTCCCCATCTGTCCCCAAGCTAGCTGCAGCGGCCTCGGGCAGTCTCTGGGAGGTGCTTTGTTTTCAGTGGAGGGTGCCCTGGTTTACCCTCTGCCATCAGGCATGAAACTCATTTCTGGCACTTTATGTGGTGACAATAACAGGACTTAGAACACCAGCCCAGTCACTGGAAGTCTGCATTGCTGCAGAACTGGCTGCAAAATGTGGGTGAACCTGTGTGACAGGTTAGACTGGGTGAACCTACAGAAAAACCAATAGAATGTTCTCCTCTCTGGGATTGAACAGTAGCATTCTCCTCATCTGTGCTGGATGAGAACCTAAGGAAACTGGCAGGTGGGCTGGCTCAAGCTTGAGGCACCGGAGGGGAAGGCCAACTGGATGTCACGACAGGGGGGCTGTGGTCCCAACTCTGCCCCTTGCCACCTGCCTTGACAACTGGAGGTGCAAGTCAGTCTCCCTCCTGTGCCTCCATTTCTTCCTCGACGGAGGTGGGAGTGGGAGCCAGTCTCGAAGATCCTTTCAGCTCACTTAGAAGTAATCCTTCTGCTTCCCTTTCACTTCATTAGACTGCCTTTATGATGTATTTATGGCTATTTTTATGTTAACTGTCTGAGTGGCATTTAGAAGATTGTACAAATAACAAGTTAGAATAAAAAAAGAAGCTTTAAAGCATTTCAGAGCAATCTGAAAACACGATATTATAGACAGATATTCAAGATCTAATTAGGAAATTAAAAGATTTTTAGATACCAAGGATTTAACAAATTTTATTTTTTATAACTACATTTTTTTTAAAAAATGTATTTTTCAGCGGCATTTGACATTCAGTATCGTTTTGTATTACTTTCAGCATGATGGTTAGACATTCATATACTTTACAGAGTATTCCTCCCCTGTTCCCCCCCCCCCCCCCCCCCGATATTTCAAGTACCTATAACTACATTTTAAAAAGGCTTTTCTACTTCCTGGTGTTTGGTTTTTGCTACATGCCTTTCTGTCCCATATAGGAAATAGATCATTGCACGGGGCTGGTATTCTCTAATAAAATGCCCACCTGAGGATGAATTGGGAGACGTTTTATGCGCCTGCCCATTAACGTCCTTCATCAGCTCTGCTTCCGTTGCTTGCCCGTTTCTGTGCGCACTGCGACACAAGCTCTTGACCTTCCAGCGTTTCTTAGAGGACTGTGTGCCACCTTCGCCCCTTCCTTCCTGAGCCTGTGTGGTGGGAAGTTGTTTTGCTCCTCTCTCAGCCTGTCCGAGGTGAAGCGGGGCAGAGCCTCCTTTGTGGCTATTGGCTGTGTGGACTCGGGCGGCTGGTACTTCTGTGTTTTGCACTGAGTTCACTTTGAAAGCATTCCCGTCAGTAACAACCATGGCTCCCTTTGATGCCGTGGCTTTTTGATTAGCTGGCTCCCACCTCACTTTTAGTTAATCAGAAAAAACGTGAAGGAGTTAACACCATTTTGTATCAGGGAACCTTGAGAGCTGTTTCCGGGTCTGCCCTGGAGTCTCCTTGTTCTCAGCCCAGGCCCTGCACGGCTCACGTCTGTCTTCCTAACCTTCCGTGGGCTCTGTCTGCGGAATCGTAGTGTGTTGCGAGCCTGACATGTCGGTAGGGGCTCCGTCGACAGGATTAGGTTGTCATTCTGTGATCCTAGGAAGACGGGACACAGAGGGCCCTCGTGTGTTAGGGGGATGTTTATGAAGCACAGAGCTGTACATCCTTTTAAGCAGAATGTAAAATCCTCGAACATGCAGGTTCATTAAGTTAGTTGGGAATTCTTTTATCTCTTTCAGTTAACAAAGCTTGTAGCAAAAGGAAAGGTATTTGAACCGCAGAACAGACATTTCTCCTGCAGTGAGAGTCATCTAATTGGGTTTTACTTTTTAAATCAGACACAGAAACATGGAAGGTTCAGGAGTGTTCTTTCGGTTTCATTGTTGTTCGTGATGGAATGTGGCAGTTAGACTTATTATTCACGGCGTCTGTCGTGGTAGAAATGACTGCAGGTAGAGAGCGATTCTGTGGCAGTTAAACATGCGTTTTCTACTTTTAAGTATCTTTACTCCATGTGCGCATGCATGCATGCATTTTTCTTTAAAGTGTGTGTAAATATTTTGTTATTAGAATAAAGCCTTCTTACTATTTTATCCTTAAGCATAACATTTCCAGTCTGCCACTTTAACCCTTAAAAATGAAGCACTACCAATCAATCTTTCTGGTCTGCATGTAATTGCCTGAAGCTAAAATAAAGCTCTTTCTCAGCCGGTTACAGTAGAAATGAGTTAATATATTGGCAACAGAATAACCATCAGCCATCAGCCGTTAGCTGTTTACTAATGAACTCCCAGATGAATGAAAACATTTCAGAGTCAGGGTTTTACTTCAGGCTGTACGTGAACTTAACACTTCAGTTGTAGGAAAGCAGCTTCTATGCTATACAAATAAATATAGGGGGCAAAAGGAGGTTTACAGTTGCTCATATGGAAAATAATACGATGATTAATAAATAATAATGCAAGCGTACACGGTGTTTCCTGTACAGCTGTAAACCCCCTTTTGTCCACCCTGTACTGGTGCTGCTGTCAGTAGGCTGTGGGCTGGGAGATGTTTGGTGCTCACCAATACATCCACATCTGGGTAGTAAAGGTGCTTTTGCATGGCATCAGGTAGAGCCTGATCTTGAAATAATCTTTTCTTTGTTTGCTTGCTTGCTTTGTTTTCTTTTTTTGTTAATCCTCACTGAAGGATATTTTTCCTATTGCCTTTTTTTAGAGAGTGGAAGGGAAGGAGGAGGGAGAGAGAACGAGAGAGAAACATCAAGAGAGAGAGACACATCAATTGGTTGCCTCCTGCATGCACCCTGACCTGGGCCGGGATTGAACCTGTAAACCAGGTATGTGCTCTTGATGGGGAATCGAACACGAGACGCCTCAGTGCTCAGGCTGATGCTCTAACCATTGAGAACACTGGTCAGGGCTGGAAATAATCTTATACTGAATTTTATGATTCAGTTTTATTTACAAATAATTGCAAGTATTGAAAACACTTGGGAAGAATTAGCTTACAGAAAGAAAAATATCCTCTTTTCAGACAAGAACAATAGGTTTATAAAAGACTGATATTCACACTCTTATTCTTCAGTACTAATGTCATCCTAAGAAAAGGATGTCAAAAAAGTATGGAACAAAAATGTGTCACTAAATATAATAAAATTATGGAGCATAAGATTGTCACTACAGTGGAGGGAAAAAAATCACATAACGTACTTTGGGGAATGTAAATAGTTTAAAAAAAGAAACTGCCAAGTTATGACACCAGATGAGAAAGAGCTCCCTCAGTTTATTGACAGTTCGTATATAATAACAGAGGGGGCAGCTTTGAAACCCGGTGTGCAGAAGTATCCCTTGTAGACGACACAGAACACATTCACTTGCTTTTTAATTTCTCCCATTTAGAAGCGGCAAAGATGAAGAACTGGAATGGTTGCATGGGAAGCGGTAATGGGCAAACCGACTGGGTCTCCAGTGTGGTCAGGTGGTAGTTACAATAACTGCTGTGGAGCTCTTCCCTCCACTGGCGTTGATTCTCACAGACGCACACAGCAGAGCTCCCAGGCTCAGTCCCGGGTCCAGGTCAGTCCCGGGTCCAGGTCAGTCCCCTGATTGATGAGCCAGGGCTCGAGGCTCTGCTTTTTGGCTTGTACTGTTTCTTTTACAACAAAAAAATGTGCCTGATATCGAAGAGGAACTTTGATAAACACACACACACACACACACACTTAAAAAAAATTCACAAGTGTATTAAAAAGTTAAATCAGCCAAAACCGGTTTGGCTCAGTGGATAGAGCGTCGGCCTGCGGACTGAAAGGTCCCAGGTTCGATTCCGGTCAAGGGCATGTACCTCGGTTGCGGGCACATCCCCAGTAGGAGATGTGCTGGAGGCAGCTGATCGATGTTTCTCTCTCATCAATGTTTCTAACTATCTCCCTTCCTCTCTAAAAAATCAATAAAATATATTTAAAAAAAAAAAAGTTAAATCATGTGAACATGTGGTATGTGGTTCAGCAGTAGATAAGGGGTTCTTGGAATTTGTTTCCTCTGCACACTATTCAGCCATGGTTATGAAATCACTGGTAAAATAGAGGCAGACACCTGTGGTCAGTAGATATATGTTCTCTGAATTTCAAGTTGTGTGTATGTTTGTGCGAGAGAGAGAGAGAGAAACTAAGTGTTTTCTTTTCTCTATTCAGGTTTCAGCAAGCAGATGGTGGAAATTCTCAACAAACACAATATTCAGTTTAGCAGTTTTGATATCTTCTCAGATGAAGAAGTTCGTCAGGGCCTCAAAACCTATTCCAATTGGCCCACCTACCCCCAGCTCTATGTGTCTGGCGAGCTCATAGGAGGACTCGACATAGTGAAGGTTAGAATTGGGAAGCTGTACTGGTACCGAGTTTTCATTTAGAGTGCAGTTTCTTGAGTGCTGGACTAGGTCCAAAGAGTAAGTTTCTTAAGAACTGCTCCATTCAGCAGGCTGAGTCTGGAACCTGTGCAGGGCATTTCTGATGAGATGATTGTCACTGGCATTCTGTGTTAGGGTGTGGCCAGGATTTACCTGTAAGTGCTTCCTTCAGCTTAACCTGTGTTTATTTCAGGAGCTGGAAGCATCTGAAGAACTAGATACAATTTGCCCCAAAGCCCCCAAATTAGAGGAAAGGTAAGTCTTTCAAGAGTTTCAAATAATCTGTTGTTATTTTTAAAAATATTTTTTAAATTCTCAGCCTTTGCATTGCCTTTCTGTACAGAAATCAGAGATGTGTCTCATATGCCAAGTTCATCATTCTGCTGTTTGCAGTCAGACAAGTCATGCTCACTCAGGAAGTGTGATTTGGACTGGGGAGTGTTGTGTGTCACTTTAATGACTAAGTGGAGGATGTTCTTTGTTTTTATAGAGATGTTATTACTACAGTGGGATGGGCACGTTGTAGCTGTCTCTGCATTTCTGAGCCAGGATCCAGCTGTCTTGATGTCCAGGTTTTAGTCATGGCATAAGCTGGTGCTGGTGTTTCCGACACGGGCCCTGGTGCTGCCGCTGTCACAGTCCCATCAGAGCACTGGCGTGGGCGTTGGGGAGCCGGTGCTGTGCGTGCTGTGCGCGGGCCACGCGGATCCCCGCTGCCTCCGAACCCTGGGAACTGAGCGTCCGGAGAGACTTCGGAGCTGTCACATCTGTCCGACGCGTCTTATGAAGCATCTCAATCAGCTGTTAGACATTTTATCTTATAGAAATTTTGGGCTTTGGCCTGTAGGGAGACTTAAAGGATTTTTTATTCTAATAAATATGAATTAATGTAGAGGTTTAAAAAGGAATTTCTTTTGAAGTGTAGTGGCGTATCAGCCATTCATTGTTGGGGAATGGCTGGGCTTCAGTCTGAAAGGTAAAACTTCCCCATGTCATTGTGTTGCCATTTCACATTTTGAGAAATTTTTAAAAAAATTTATTTTATTGATTTTAGAGAGGAAGGGAGAGAGAGAGAGAGACAGAAACATCAGTGATGAGAGAGAACCATTGATTGGCTGCCTCCTGCATGTCCCCTACTGGGGATCGAGCCCGAAACCTGGGCATGTGCCCTGACCAGAGTTGTACCAGGGGCCCTTCAGTCCGCAGGCTGACGCTCTATCCACTGAGCCAAAATGGCTAAGGCAAGAAATTTTAAGTGTTTAAAAATAAACACCTGATTTACTTACCCTTGATTAATGAAGTAATCCTTATAAACAGTATTCCTTCTATGTCAAGCCAGCCTTTAGGTGGCACATTTTCTCAAATGATTTACATCCTTTCTTGCCTTTTTGGTAGGAAAGTGGTGCTCCTTGTCCCTTTGTTACTCTGGGGTCCTCTGCTGAGAGCTTGGGCGGCCGCAGAGGCTGTGGCCTCAGGAGACTGCAGTGCACCTGCTCTGCTTGGCTTTGCTCTTCGTTTGCTCTCTGTTGAATGCACCTGAGTCCCTGTGGTCAGACACCAGGGGCTGGCCGGCTAGAATTACCTCGGAAATAAGTTCAGTGTATTTTGAGTAACAATTTAAAGGGCTCCTGGGAGGAAAAGTGCAGGAGCCAGAGTTCCTGGGCTTGGTGACATCTGTTGGGGATGGGGGTTGGGGGGGGGGGGCGTGCAGAGGGACCTGTTTTGCTTCCCTGGATGCAGGTGGCGGTTACTAGGTGAGAGATTGGGATCAGCATCATCATGTCGTTTCTTACTGGTTTTTGTTTGTTTATTTTGAGAATTAGCTAATTGCACTCTGTTGAAAGTGTACATGACAGCTTTGTGTGTGATTTGTGGTTCCATTTGTGACAACTTTATTCTGTGAGGAGATTTGGAGCCACCACGAAGGATCCAGAGAACCAGGGGCAGGAGGAGAACATGGTGATGGGGCCGGGTCTTCCGCAGCCACTGTCCCCGCACTGACTTCCTGAGATCTGTTTCTAGGCTGATATGCAGATGTTGCGCATTCTGACAGCAAGTTAGCTCCTGGTGTTTGAAAGATTGTGCGAAATATTCAGCTGAAGTTAAGACGAGAGCATTTGACTTTAGCAGCTGGTGTTAGTGGTGTTCCAAGACGTAGTGCTCCCCTCAGGGGTGGCCTTGTGGGCACTGAGCGTGCGGAGCCGTGCGCAGCCTCAGGATGAGAGAGACATGCAGGATGGAGTGCTGGAGGTTCCGGACGGGCCCCTTATCGAACAAGTCCTTATTGAACTGGGTATTATTATTTTTTTAGAACTGAGAGTTGATGGGCTTAAATTGCAACTTGAAGGAACATTCTTTGCCTTAAAAAGCCACATCGTGTTTTACAGTGGCTTAGGGAGAGCGTGAAATAAAGGGAAATGTCAGTGCATTTGCTTGTTTAGTGCCATTCCGAGCTGCGAACCACCATCCTGCTCTCCCTCAGCATGCACGTTGCTCCTGAGCGCACACAGCGAAAGTGGGGTTTCATAGTTGAGCTGAGCCGTTTCATATCAATTTTCTCTCCTTAGGCTCAAAGTACTGACAAATAAAGCTTCTGTGATGCTCTTTATGAAAGGAAACAAACAGGTAAAGAACTCAAGAATGGTTTTACTTGTAATTTCTTTTGCTGGTAACATGTGCAGCAAGGGGACACTTACCAGCTTTTTCCCAGCGCTGGCTAATGGAGCCGCGGAGGCACCAGGAAGTTATCTGGGCCTAATTGGTGCTTGTGGACACCAGACCCAGTCATCTGCATGTTTTGCCTGTCCTGGCATCGCACGCAGTGGGGCGTGTTTCTTTCTGCTGCCAGACGTCAGCTCACAGGTCAGCAGTGTCCTCACCTCCTGGTCTGTGAGTTGCTGTCGGGACCATGACTTAGTCCACAGAGTGCAGTCTGGTCACTGCTTCCTGGGTCCAGGAACCTCATGGGTCTCAGGTTTGCGGCTTTAGGCCATCCTGGAAGTGTAACCCGTGCCGCCTGTGTGCCCAGTGCTTGGATGATGAATGAGTGAAATCATTTCGGCAATTTTTTTCTTTTCTGTAACTGCATATTCCTATTTTTCTACAAAGAGAGTTCTTGGTGTTCATCAGATCCTCAAAGCGTCTGCCCCTCACTTGCTAAGAACCACTGACACATCTGACTTCCCTCTAAATGCCGTTTCGCTGTGTGGTTCCTCTGGTGTCAGGGCGCTTGTCACTTGTGGCAGGTGGTTGTTGGAGCTGCTCTGCCGTCACTTCGCAGAGCCTCGCCTTCCCTCGGTGCACAGAGCCTGGTGCCGCCCGCACAGCGTCTGCGAGCACGTGGTCGCCATCACTGTGGAGTTAATAAAGCTAATACAGTGACACCAACTCTCTTACATAGGAATCAGTTCATACAACTGTTCTAATGAGAGCAGGACAACTAGGAAAATGGTCAGATAAATTCCAACATGTGATCCCTGGATGAGGACCTAGACTCTTTGGTCCACTGTATTTATGAAAACAAAATAGAGGAAGCTAGTAATTCCCAGTAGTGAAAAAGCCATCTTTTCGTTTTGGTGATGATTTTTATTCTCAGAACACCCCCCCCCCCCCCCCCGGAAGCCCAGACAGTATTCGTGCATTTGGGGAACATAATTATTAGCGCCATCAAGGTGTTTGTGTGGCCCCAAGCCTTCCCTCAGGATTGAGGGGATTTGAGATTCTGTGCATGAAAAGTGTGTAAGATCTCCATAACCTGAAAGAAGTTTGGAACAGGAAGAGGATGATGATGGCGAAAGGTTGAGTATTGAGATGGTCTCCGTGAGTGACATCTCAGGAGAGCGTGGGAGTTTACTTGAGGGACTTCTGACCACAACGATTAGAAGCTACTAGACACACGCCCTCCCCTTGGTTACAGACCGAAGTGAATCTGTGGGTGGAGGGGGGAGTGCGTTTGAGCTGATGTCTCCGGGTCAGTACTGGAGGTGCCCCTGAGCCCTCACCCGTCTGACTGCCCTGTGATGTGAAGGGCCCTGAGGCTCGTCCTCGCCCACCAGCTGTCCCAGGACAGAGCGAGAGGGACAGCCATGCCGTGGGCTGTGGGCCGTGGGCTGTGGGCTGTGGGGAAATGCCATGCATCTTCACTTTTTCTCTCTGCATTTAGGAAGCTAAGTGTGGATTCAGCAAACAGATTCTGGAAATACTAAATAGTACTGGGTAAGTCAGTCTTACTTTTAAATGGTCTATTTAAGAAGTTCTAATTTTTCAGTTATATCTAAATCCATGCATTTTTATCTAGTGTTGTTATACTGGTTTGTGAATGCTTTAAGTTAGATTACAACAGAATGTTCTGGCCAGTGTCAAACTCCTGGTAACATTTCTCAGGCAACAATGAAATAACTATTTGTCTACTTTCCCAGAGGAAAGTTAATAACAGTTCTTACCAGGCATAAAGATATTTTGGAGAAAGTGAATTATGGGTTTTTTAATTTTCTTTAAAAACATTGTAGTGTCTAAAATCATCCACAGAGCAGATGGGGTAAGTATTAAGGTCGATTATATGGATCTGAGGAGGAGGGTAAATTACATGCAAGGTCCTTGCTTTTCATCTGCTCAGTGATAAGATGTCAGGTGAGAAAATTGTGATTGATTTTTATGGTTAAAAACAACCACTTTTATATGTCAATTATACCTCAATTTAAAAAATTAAAACAAAACCACTTGGGGATATTTACACATGTTTTATAGAGTTTGTCATGTGTTTTTGCTTATTTCTTTTATTTCACAATTGCTTTTTAATATACGTTTTCTAACCATAGCTTTAAATAGATGAGGCAGTCCTATGAAATTATAGGGAAAGTAATCTTCGAAATATTTAGACATTCTTGGGGAGAGTTGAAAGTCAAATAGTACAGGTTTACGTACAATTTTAGGGACATAAAAAGAAAAAGGATAGATTTCTTAAAATGATCGTGACATTGCACAGAGCAGAGTCTGGTCAGCCTGTCCTGTGTGCTGAGCCTCCTGTTCACTGGAGGACGGAGGACAGCTGGCTTGGTTTTGGTCCTTATTTTTATGGCCCTTCCTCCGTCTTCCCTCGGCCACAGCTCCACGGAGACACACCCAGTCCACTCCTTCCTGGCCCCAGCCTGTCCCTGGGGCGCCCTCTGCTTGTTCACGAGCCAGGACGTGACAGCTCGCAGATTTGGGAAGGGCTCCCTGCTTTCTGTCCTGTATCTGCGCAGTCCAGACCGGACGGGAGGGCAGTTCTTGGGGGGCTGGGCTTCTGAGGGAGAGAGTGTCCCACAGCCCGAGTCTTGGTAAACAGGATGGCGCGGCGGTGGGCGCCCGTGGAGCCTCTGCGGCTCTGTAGCGGGAGCACACCGTGAACTCGGGGGGCCCTTTGTTCTTCCTCCTCTGATCTTGCGCTTGTCGTTTCCTTGCTAGTCCAGATGAACTCGCCGCAAGGGCTGAGTCCCAGGTGCAACAAAGAACTGCTGGGACCCTCAGGCCCATGCACCTGGGCCCCGGGCTCCCTAGGTCCCTGACAGGTGGCCTGTCACTTGCCCTTTTCATCAGACGGTTCAGCCGAAGATGTGCCTCCCTTGGTTCACCCTGAAGGGAAACTCACCTCGTGTAGGTCCTTTTTCATTCCCTTTTGCTCTTTCAAACATCTCTTTTCTCGTACTTGCTGCTGGTTAATCCTGTCGTCTTCTTTGAGTATTTCTGCGCCATGGATAGTTTTCTTGGGAACTTGTTGACCAAGTAACCAAGGTTTCCCTTGAGGGTGGCCTCAGATTTTGTATGTGGCATTTTCTTTGGCCAGTTTTTGGACCTGCACATAGGACCTCACGCCTGGCCATACGCCTGGCCTCATGCCGGCTGATTCCCTGACCGCCATGCAGGTAAAGCACAGCCCCGTCCTGGAGTCAGTCCATTCCCGTGTCACAAGGCGGCATTCGCTGGCAGTGAGGGTGTCCTGGCTGGTGAGTCCCAGCAGCTCTGGCCATGGCCTGCGGCATCTAAATGTTTCTCTTGCCCTTTAGGAGAAGGTCTGCTGGCCCCTGTGTAACCTTGTATTGCCTAGAGAAAAATTCAGACACGTTTGTGTCTTGGCAT